TCGTTTCCAGGGTTCTGATGTCCAACTTACTGACCTCCGATTTTGATAGGACGGTGGCTTTGTTCGAAATGGACCCATTTTTGGAGGCTGCTCGGCAAATTCCTTACTGGCTTGCTTCTGCCATTGCTACGGTGATCTACGGCTATTATAGTACGAAGTTCCGTACGATCCGCTCTCCAATGTTCGTCGGCTTCCTCATCTTCACCTGCGGCCTCATTGGGCTGTCTACAGTTCAACCGAGTGGTGATTTCAACGCCGTGGCATTCATCGCCCTGGCTGGGGTGGGATTTGGTGCCCCGTTAGTCTTGGTAATTGCTGGGGTTCAGCTCTCAACACCGCATCATTTGATCGCAACCGCAACGGCAGCCACGACTTGCTCTCGGGCTATTGCTGCAAGTGTCTTTACGGCTATCTTTTCGGCCGCATCTAGCGCACGCTTAAAGACATATATTCCTGAGTATGTTTCCAAAGCGGCGTTACATGCGGGATTGCCGAAGTCTTCCATCGAAGCCTTTGTCAAGGCTCTGTCATCCGACGACAGTGCAGCTTTGGAAAGCATCAAGGGAGTCAATTCGGAAATCCTCAATTCCGGTATCCACGCCCTGAAACAGGCATATGCCGATGGGTTCAGGGTAGTCTACATCATTGCAGTTCCCTTCAGTGTCGTGGCGTGCATTGCAAGTCTCTTCTTGGGAGATCTCAAGAAAGCCATGAATTACGGCGTCGATGCGCCAATGGAAGTTTTGCATACCAAGCGTCGTACGGACGTTTGATATTTGATAGGCCATTTCTCAATCTTTTGAAGCAGCCTTCATCTAGATGATAATCTTACCAGCTGCGAACCGGCCCCTTACAATGATTACTATATTTTCTGAACCCTCATTCCGCAAGGGACCCGTACTTGGTTGTACTGTACAACAGTAATACACGTAGTTTACTGCTCGTGAAGTAGATCTTATTTATTAATTCGGACATTAGATATTCTGTTCCCTCAAATTAACTGAAGAGATGCGCAGCGGGCTTGGCTCTATAAGTTTTAGTTTAGATGTTATTAGTTATTAACACATATGAAGGGTACAACCATAGTTCAAATTGATCGGCGTTGTTAGGGTCATGGGATACGGCGCATCCCAACCCTAATTCTAGCCCTACGGCCCTATCTAGGATCTGCCAGTACAGAAGTGTCCGAGTCCATACAGACTTCCCACGATCTGGCTCAGCACTCTGTTTATAACGAGCAGGCCCTAAAAGGTAATCGATCTAGAAGGCTCTGTATACAGGAATCGCTTCACATAGAACAGCAATGAACCTATATACCTTCCAGTTCAATGTGAATTGAACCTCAGACGATAGACAGGACGTAACAATTCAACTAAATAATATTGCTTCCAACCGCCAATAGTACCGACCGTAGCCAGATGATTGTAATGAAGTGACTTGGCCCGTCGCTGTTTCTCACGTATCTCCTCCGCACGCAGTGTGCCGATACCATCCGAGAGTGAATCCCAGATGCTCAGGCTCTCCCGAAGATAGGAGTTGGAGAAGCCCGCGACGCTGCAGATTCTGACACAGAGCTCGTTTCCATACGAAATCCTCTGTTAAGTTGTCTGGATGTACACCACGACCGTAGCCCTGTGGTTCGCTGTTGTTGGAGTTTGTTGGCTTGCCTCTGGCGTCCGGACAGCCCGATATTAGCATCTCAATATTCGAAGCCAAGTCCGCGATCGTCTTGTACTTGTTGTGCCAGCACTTGTCAATAATTTCGTCAATTAGCGGGTCACTGTTGGGCTTGGGAAAATCCATGTTCTGTAGTAATTCCACAACCTTGGGACCATGCTCCTTGGGATCTTCAGTGAGACATTGGTCCCCATAGACTTCCACGCCGTAGTTGATTAAATAATACAAGGAGCTAAGGGCGAATTGTTCCGTTCGAGGACCCAAAAGGCCGGAACTTCCACGTCGTCCTTCCTCTGGCTTGCTATCACCGAGGACCCTTCCATATGGAGCCATACAAGCTTCGAAATCGGTCCCGATTTCTCCAGTACAATCAAAATCAGACAGTTTTAATCGGTTACGATCAAGTAAGATATTCTCGGGTCGTAGATCGCCATACGCGAGATTAAGAGATTGAAGAAAAGCAACGGCTTGAGCAAAATCGTTCATCCATTCCTTTCGCAGGGCTAGAGGTTCCAATCTTTCTACTTTAGTGACTATCATGGTATGCTCGTCTCGGACATGATTACTTTGTATCCGAGACCAAAGGGACTCATCTGGTGATGCAGTTAGTTGAGTCTGACACAGCTCAGCTGTGAAGCATCAATAGGGTTTCGCACCTCGCATATGCTCAAGGAAAATTCCGTTGTCGGCGTATTGGAAACATTGCACTATAGAAGAGCAAGATAGTTCTTGCAAGAAGGTCTCGTAGATCTTGAGCTCTTTCTAAAATTGTTCCCTCTCAAACTCTCCAGCTTTAGGGACCTTAACCACGATGCGAGGATGAACTTCATACAGAAAGGAAATGGCCCCCTTGCAAACCCAATGAACCTCAGGAGATTGAACTTGACTTGTCATGAGGAGAATGGCTTTTGTATGGAAGTGCTGAAAGAGGAAGGGAAAAGGGAGCTTCACTAAGAAGCTATATCCACCAGGTTGGGTTGGGTGCCCGAGATACAAGGCCAAAAACCCCTCGCTTGGACGCGAAAGAATACAGAAGGGGTCAATGTACTACCGGGCCAAGTCCTGCGATGTATTGACTTATCATGAACTAACAACTAAAAGGTAGTTTGAGATGGGTGAGTACATTTTCGTTACTATTGCAAGGAGAATCGTGCTGGCACTCAGCAATGGTAGTTCTACTTTCGGAGATCCTTCCCCTGATTCAAACATTTTTTAATTCATCTATATCGTATCTCTCCATAATGTTGTATCTCTTTCTCTAATGAGTTTAATTTTCCTTTTGAGCCGTTCACCGTCGTACTGCAATACTTCTTCCTGCTTTTGTACTGAAATAGATGCTCTCATATTAGTAATAAGTTCTTGTATTTTCCTTAATAACATCTCTATTAGGATCGCTAAGCGGTCGTTGTTGCGGAGCTATATCGAACGCAGATGTCTTTTACGGCCCAAGTGTTGGTGTTATTATGAGAAATGTCAAGGTATACTGGATGTGACTTATGAGGGGCAATTTCCGGTGCCCAATCTATACACTACATGCCCAGTGACTCGACAAGACGCATGTTGTATGTACATAGAGAGTACGATGATAGACTCCCAGGTGCGAGGTCCCACTCGCCAACCAGGAGGATGATATATGGACAGTGTCCGTTGTCGGGGTCAAGGAGGCCTTCAATATTATATAGAAGCTAGCATGGGCATTGGTAGTAGTAGATTCATTCCCCCGTCAAAAACTAACTAACTGCCAACTGCGTATATTAACAACAATGTGAAGCGGAGAAAAGAAAAAAAATCGACACCTGTGAGATTCGAACTCACGCCCCCGAAGGGAATGCCTACGCTAATCCAAATATGGCATAGCAGGGCATCGCGTTAACCACTCCGCCAAAGTGCCTTACTTGATTAATATTTCAATTATTTAGAGTATATAGAGGAAGCCAATGCGTTATCAGATTCTTTTAAAATAAGTTGTTGATAGCAACAACGATGTTATCATCAACTTAGTCTGTCATACTGCTATTGTCAGGCATCAATAATGTTCCGTCTTCTTTGTCACTGGGTATTGTCTGAATTATTTCATCTTTCTTCGAGAAGGTAAACTTGTTGGCAGGGATTGTTCTGATAGTAGACATGTTTCTCTACACCCAGCATTCCTTGCCATTCACCCCGCAGTCTCTGTTTGGTTGAAGAAATATTGTGACTCGTATATTTCGTCCCTAAGGTCTCGAGCAATACCACCATTTCTGGCCCTGAGTATGAAGTAGATAGCAGAGATTTAATGATACAAATAATGAGCGACCCCACGTAAACAGCTTGTTATGCTGTTGGACGCAGTGATGGAGATTATATCCTAAACGAACTGTATACTTCCGCTGCGTACAACGTTGACAAGGTACATCGCAACCCATCTCAGTCATGATTCATGAGCGACTCGATATTCGTGTTTTGATTATTTCTAGCTCATCGCTGACATCGTTATCATTCCCCGACTCCTTTGCTCAATAAGGTCTCTGCCAGGTAGCGGGCAACATCAGTAGAGATTATCGTTTAACAACAGGTGCGTCTCTTGGTAGTCGAGTATCATGATTCAAGCATTGGGGCTAACATTAGCCCAAGCGGTTAGATATAGGCGTTAACTAGGATATTAGTTATGTTGATGTTGTCAGAACTTCGCAGATCAATATGTTTCTCGACAGCATGACTTATGCATCGTGGCCATATACATAGGCTACAGTGAACATCTTTGGCATTCGTTCACGCCACTGAAGATGTTTTTCTCTTTCCAAGCATCTTTGACTTCTTTCACTCTCCCGATATGACTGCTCATCACCGAGTCTAAGACTAGTCAGCAGCTAGGATGTGATTAACGGGAAGGTTGTACCCTGTGCTTCAGACTGTCTCGAATATCCACTGGCAGTCAACTGTGTGATCCCTAGCGTGGGCATATCAAGGCACTCCCTTGCACAACCAGGGTGTCATCAATATTGTTAGTCCATATCCGAAGAGTGTTTGGCAAATCATACAGAGAACCCACACTTGTATTAATAGTAGATTAGGTAGTAAAAATGCTGAGCCCGTAACAATGCACAATTTTTTTCGAGTTCCGACGAGTAAGGCACTATGGCGGAGTGGTTAACGCGATGCCCTGCTATGCCATATTTGGATTAGCGTAGGCATTCCCTTCGGGGGCGTGAGTTCGAATCTCACTGGTGTCGCATTTTTTTTCTTTCGGTGCACCACCACTCACTCACCTGATAGCGGCTGTACAAGCTGTTTTTTTTTATTTACGTTGGACAAATTACTATTATCCGTGTAGAATCCTTGATCTCAGCTCTTCATCGAGAAGAGTTATCACTAACTCTGACGCGACCCCTACTACTTACTTGCGATGGTAGATTTCCTGGTTACTCTTTTTCGGTTGAGACTGTTTCCCATATGAAGAAGTTCTCCACCTCTATATACCAGATAGCAGTATGGATAGTATCGCTAATTGCATTCTAGGAAGTCTCCATGGTTCGCTCAGATTTACAGCGTAGCAGATTGACCCTCCGAATTCATATCAATGATTGCCTGCCAAAGGTTCACAATGGCGTTGCTTTCCCAACCCTCATAGCGAATATGGTCTAGTACCTGTTCTAACAGAACTCGATCATCGGTAGTAATAGAGCTGCCATCACCTTGTGCAAGCATACGCTCTGCTACCTTCTTGTATGCCAATTTATGGGCCCGATGCTTGATTGTATTCCTCACTTCGAAGTACAGCCATCTTCGACAGTGGGCCAGGAACTTGATTCTCTCGAACGGGCTGCGGCTGTCCAGCTCGTCCCTGGAGTCCCCAGCCGGACCACCCCTGGTCATCACCCGCTGCTCGATCTCGCTGGCGGTCAGCTCATACGCCTTGTTCTGGACCAAGGTCGCCAGTTGAACCGCGCTGATAGGCTTCTTCGCCTGTAGCATGGCACCCGTCGTCAGATGTTGAAGCTCGCATTTCCCCATCAGGTAATCGGCCACGTCCTCGGCCAATGTATCGGCGAGAGAGGCATAGGTATGTGTTTTCTCCGCTCGTTGGACCGCCTCAATCTCAGACGTGAACAGAACCGTGAGCAATTCGCTGAAGACAACCCCATCCGAACAACGGGGCGTAGGGTCTGCCGTCTTCATTTTCGGGCTACGTATTAGAGCCGTCAACTTCGATGGGAGTTTGATCAGATGCGTGAAGTATTTGGAGCCGTATAGCTCGGGACACACAGACGCAGCGGTGAGGTGGGCGAAGTCATGGAGGTCCCAGAGTGCGGACGAGTTGTCCAGCATGTCGGTGCTATCGCTGTCGAAGTCTTTTTCTCGAACGGCAATGTGGCCTGGGCCAATGGATGATATGGCATTTGGGGGGACGAGTTTGGTTTGGTGGTCCACTGTGAAAGTGTTGCTGTTGACCAGGCGGTGGACGCCGTAGTTGATGGCACGGATGGCATTGTGGTCGTGAGAGAGGAAGGCGACGATCTCATTGAAGCGGTCTAGGTTGGATTCCACGGCTGGTAGGAACTCTTCACGACATTCTGAGCGAGTGGCGAGATATAGAACGCCGAACTTATGGACGGAGATGGCTGCGCTCCAAAGCATCTTCTGTTGATCGAATGGGAGTAGAAGTGACTTGTTGTCCGCTCGTTTCAGAAGGATTCGACATCCTTCCAAGATGTACTGAAGTAGGGGACGCTTGACTTCCGTCGTCCGCAGTCGGATTCTATCAGCGTTGTCGAAGTGGGGATGTGCAGGACAGTGACCGTCTAGCCACCACGTTGAAGGCTCATAGGCAGGAGGAAGCTCTTCGAAGGGGGACAGGTGTATCTCTGAGGAAATGAAGGTTGAGTGCGGCTGTTTACTCGGTGGGTGCTTGCTATCGGAGCGAGTTGGTTTAAGGCGTGGGACCTTGAGTGTCTCACGGACGAGGGCCTGGATGGCAGTGAGAAGTGACTCCATTATCTCGACTTTCAGAGACCAGTTCCACAGCACTACCATGGTCGACGTATTTAACGACTGCCTTTTATAAGAAAGCTCGTACAGCACCCTCTGCTCGATACTGCTTACAGCATGTTCTTAATCATCGATATGCGCCACAGTTTCCAATCGGGTCACGGAATTTCAGGGCTCATCATCACCTCCGCAATTCAGACGCATGGTTTTGCCGATTGTGCAGTAGCGTGACATACCTGAATCTCCTGCATGTCCGAGGAAGTATGTTAGATTGATATGATCTCATGATACGTTCTGGTGAGACACCGTAAGCAGATTCTAGCCCTAACGAGAATATACAAGCGATAATCTCTGTAGAGCGATGCGGAGTTTATGGGCAATAATGTTCCAGGCCGTTAGATCAAATGTACCCCGGTCTTCCCCAGACCTTGCAGTGATCTATGAGATATTTTTAGTATGATATTGTCGTAGAATTCGTGCAAATGGGACTTCCTTCCGCCTCCTTGCAGAGATCTACTGTATGGTCAATACTGGGACATCATGGGTAGTGTAGTCTAATCATTCCTTCTTGCACTTGAGTATGTTTTTTTTTTAGATATTGCTTTTATCATTTCAGTAATGCAGGTCTCAATCTCTCTTCGACTTTTCTTGACTCTGTTCCTACTCCCCAGGATGATATGAGTCGACACGAGTATGGAACTAGGGCTGATCTCTACGATCTGCAGCTCCACCCGATTGGCTGTGGGGCCTTCTCGGCGTAATCCGAGGTGCAGGACCCTTACATTGATATCCACGGAACTCCAGCTGCCTCAACGCCATTTAGGTAATATGCGAGACAGGATCAGGAAGGAGAGAGCAATGTCTAATTTCGGTATGCAGTCGTGTGCATCTCATTAGTTTTCAATCCTCGGGGATGTATGTTCGATGTGCAGTGAAGCTAAAGCATACCTCGTATCCGTTGTGCTCCCTTAAGTCTGACTGGACCCACGCGATGTAACTCTGGCCAGGGATAAATCAATGATCCCCCTATAGCACTCTTGTATTAAGGCTTGATTCCTGGGGGCTCCCAATTAACCTTAACTCCGACTGGCTGGCTCGTGCGGTAGGGGACGCCATGAAGGGAAGAAATCAAGGAAGAAAAATTTTTACGCCCTTGCTTCCGCACACGAGGCTCACATACCGTTCAGCCGCAGTGGTGAAAACGTGTGACTACATACAGAAACTCAAAGGTCGAAATCCGTTTCTTTTCTGCTGGCGTGTTCTTCAAATCGCAGGACAACTGCTCGAAGACCAATCAAGTGTCCACCATGGCGACCAATCCGACTGCGGAGCTGAAAGGCACGGTGGCTGCCACTGAAACTTCGGAGGATGCAGCGAGGCATGTGGATCACGGCCTCCGCGCCTGGACAGTCGTGGCCGGGGCATGGTGCTGTCTGTTTTGTGGATTTGGCTGGGTGAACGGTACGAATGGTTCTATCTAGTGGTGGCTTCCACTCTGACAAGTGCCAGCCATTGGAATCTTCCAAGACTATTATCAAGCCCATCAATTGCGGACGTACTCGGCGTCCAGCATCTCGTGGATCTTGTCTCTGGAACCGTTTATTCTCTTTGCAGCGGGACTGGTGATTGGAAGAGTATGACCCTCCATAAGCCCTAATTCTACTTGCATGGCCAGCGTTCATCGATTCTTCAGGTTTTCGATAATTACGGCCCCAAATGGCTCCTTCTCATTGGGACGTTTCTGCACGTCTTCGGTCTCATGATGACCTCCATCTCGCACGAGTATTACCAGTTCATTCTCGCCCAGGGCATCTGCAGCCCGCTGGGCGCCAGCTTCGTCTTCTACCCGGCGCTCTCCTGCACCGCGACCTGGTTCGATAAGCGGCGCGCCCTGGCCTTTGGCATTGTGTCCAGCGGCTCCTCCCTCGGCGGGGTCGTGTTCCCCACGATGCTGTCGCGACTGCTGCCACGCATCGGATTCGGCTGGTCGCTGCGTATCTCGGGCTTCATGGTCCTGGCCATGCTGATCATTGCCAACCTGACCGTTCGGTCGCGAATCGCGCCCGTCCCACGGCCGGTCAAGCTGACGGACTATGTCGGCCCTTTTTCAGAGATACCGTTTATTCTCCTCATGCTGGCTTCCTGCTGTGGGTTTTTCGCTATGTTCGTACCGATCAACTACGTGATCGTGGAGGCGCAGGAGGATGGGGTCAATCGTGACTTGGCTGGGTACTTGCTGACCATCCTCAACGCAGCAAGGTAAGTACCATAACCCTCAATTCGTCCCACAAGCAAGTCCGATTAACCCGGCATAGCCTTCCTGGCCGGATCCTACCCGGCTACCTCGGGGACAAACTGGGCCGATTCAACGTCATGATCGCCATGTGCACTCTATCCGCCGTAGTCCTGCTAGTCCTCTGGCTCCCCGGCACGCTTCTCTCCCCCGGCAGCGCGGCCATCTACATCGTCTTCAGCCTGCTGTATGGATTCGCCTCGGGCGCGTTCGTCGGCATGGTCCCTGCCCTCCTGAGCCAGATCTCGCCCGACGTGACCAAGACCGGGGTGCGCCAGGGCGTGTTATTCACCTGTATCAGCATCGCTTCGCTCACGGGGAGCCCGATCGCAGGGGCGATCCTGAGTCGCCAGCACGGACCTACTGGGGGCTACAGGTGTTCGCGGGCGCCATGATGGTGGGCAGTGTGTTCTTCTTTGTGGCGGCGAGAGTCGTCCTGGCTGGGGCTTCCATTGGGAAGAAGGTATAGACCGCTATGTACATAGGCATCGAGCTTTATTTATCAACATGCGTAAACTACGGTTCACAGTAACTGTCGCAGAGCTGCGCCAGCTGCACATCCAACTGGGTCAGCCCTTTCGGGTGGTGCGTGGTCCAGCGGATCGAGACCTTGTTGTAGACCTGTAAACGTCAGCAAGACATTATCAAATAAGTAGCAGCCCAGAGACAACAACAACATACATTCGTCCACTCCGGATGATGCCGATACGTCGCCGCCGCCTCCGCAACCCGCTGCATGAACGCCTTCATCACCGTTAGCAAAAGGACATACCCACCACACACGGGGAAGATAGAAACGCACCCACGCCTTCTTAAACGAAGGGAACCGAATCTCGCGCTCCACACCCAAGCCATCATGCGTCAAGGTCCACAGCCCGCCATTCCGCACCAGCAAGCGCTCCACGCCCTCCACAACACGCTCCACATCCTCCCCCTCCGCCACGACCGGCAGCTCAACTCCCTTCCACGCAGCCCCGTAGATCTTATCCCCGATATCGCCATGCGTATAGGGCACCAGATACCCAGCCTCATCACAGCGCTCCGCCCGCGCCGCAACAACCACATACTCCACGACCGGACACGCGGCCACCCTCTCCAGCGCCTCGGGCGCCGCATAGCAGCACAACACGCCCACCGACCTCTCCGCGCGCCCGCTGCTCATCGCCCACAGCTCCTCGCACAGCGCCACGACCGTATCCCCCGTCGCGACCAGTGTGTCCAGCACGACCAGCTTGCCCTCGTCTGCGGCTGGTGGGAAGGGTCGACGACCGGGCCATTCGACGATGACGTCCTGAGTGCCCTTTTTCTTGCTGCAGCGGGCGAGTATGCAGGTTGTGCTGGTGAAGAGGGGTGCGGCGGCGACGAACATGGGGAGGGCGCCGCGCAGGATGGGCACCATGGTTGGGTTGGTGAGGGCTGGGTCGTGGGCTTTGGCGGTGCTGATGAGGGCGGCGGTGAGCCCGTGGATGGTGGTTTGCATTGCTTGGGGGGTTGCGGTGGGGGAGAGAAAGGTTTGCATGAGCGTGGAGGGGGGTGGGTCGAGGGTGATGATCGGGGGTTTGGGTTGGGGCATTTTCCACTGTCTTTTCTGTATGAATATAATAGGATGGAAGAGTTTGTTTGTGGTTATTTATTGTTTGGGGGGTTAGTTGGTGAAGTAATGTTGTAGTTGGGGTATTTATATTGGATTGTATTGTTGTAGTTGCATTCTGGATCACATGGTGTTGTGTTTATCTTACTGACTTATAGTTGAAAGTGAACTAATCTAATTAATGTTTTACGGGGTTAATAGGAATGGCCGCCAATTTAGTGGCAGTATGCGACTCTTCCTAGCGTTAAAACAAGATGTAGCATAGAATTCTTAAAGTGGCAGCGCTCGTCAGGGACCCCGTCAAGCCCTAAACCTATTGGGTTCATGGATGAGATTCTGATTGAGACTGCGAAAAATCACACTAATACATAGCAATCTAGTTTTCTAGTTTCATAGCAAATATATAGGTATAGGTATAGATATTTCCCGTGTGAACTGATCAAGATTTCTCAGGATACTAAGCAGTTCATAATCAAATTAATATACTCTGTTGTAGACTGTCTTGGGATCTAAGGTCAGAACTCGGGGCTTCAACACGTATGTCCTGCACTCTTTCCGAAGCCGAGTGAAATATTAATTCTGGTACAAGACAATTTACGGGGTATGTATGACCTTCCCATGGTCACTGCGAGTAACCCAGAAGTAATACGGAGTACAATGGGGATTAATCCCCTTGCTGGTTGCTGGTCTAGATGAGGTCGATCAGCCCTACCCTTTCCAGTTCAGGGACTATAGTGGGTTTAGTATGTAGTTACGGGGTATAGTATTTGTACTCCGTACACATACACATACACAGCCAAGGAAATCGACTAAATAACAAGAGCCTATTAACAAAACTCGAGAAACATTCCGAGACAAGTCAGCACTAGTCAACTCAATACGACGCCCGATACTATGCAAGACACGTCACCGAGTTCCCCTATGTTATCTCCACGGCCCCTCCCGAAGCCCACCAAACCCTAGAAAGATCGACTGAGATCAATAAATTAAGAACTAAGAACAAGATTCAAGAACAACCAACCCTTCCAAGTTCACTTCTATACGCAGTACAACCAGAGTTTCAAGTCAATTATTGAACAACGAAAATGCCCCCCACCACCCTGGCCATCTTCGACTTCGACGGCACGCTCTTCGACACCCATGAATCCATCTCGCAAACCATTAAACTGACCTTCGAGGCGCTCCTCCCCGCCCACGCGCCCCCGCAACCCGAAGTCCACCGCCTAATCGCCAGCGGCGCCGGCCTCTCCGACACCTTCCGCGCCCTGCACCCGGACCCCGCCACCTTCGCCCTCCACGAAACCGCCTGGATCGAGAAATACCGCGCCCTCTACGCAACCCACGGCCAGCTCCTCATCAAAGCCTTCCCCGGCGCCCACACCCTTTTGGCAGAGCTCCAGGCCCACACCGTGCCCATCGCCATCGTCAGTAACAAGGGCGTGGCGGCCGTGAAGACGGCGCTGGAGAGGAACGGCCTGGCCGGGTATGTGCCCGAGGACCTGATCATCGGGGACAAGACGCCCGGGGCGCAGCGGAAGCCGGATCCCGCTAGTTTTGTGGATGTGCTGGTGCCGATCTTGGAGGAGAAGTTTGGCGTAAAGGTGGCGGCGGACGGCGTGTTGGTGGTGGGGGATACGGTGGCCGACATTCAGTTTGCGAGGAATATCGGGGGCAAGGTGTGTTGGTGTCGCTATGGGTATGGGGATAGGACAGCTTGTGAAGGGTTAGGGCCCGATTATGTGGTGGATTCTCTGGGGGAGGTGGTGGGCATTATCAAGGGTTGATTTGGGGTTTCTTGAATGTCTGTGGCATTTTGTATAGAACATCATGAGAATGGAGGCAAGAAAGCCAATATGCAGATAAAGAGTGTATCGTCCGGTATTCATCCAAATCCCATGCAAAACGCCCGCGCCATGCTTCGTCACATTGAGTATCATAAGAGTAGCGCTGCTACCGAAAGACGGACCCTGCTTTCACCGTTTCCCCACCACTCGCTTCTTGGCTTTATCGTAGTTCAGTACCTTCCGTCGCCGGTGGGTTTGCGCCAGCTTCCATCGGCAGTACAGAACCAATGCATCTTTCAGCAGCACAAAGGCGCAGCCGCCAACCACACTTCGGCCCCATCGCGTCTGTAGAAGCCCCGGTCGGCTGCGTTCCAGCGCGGACGGCGCCGCGGTCCAGGCTTTCGGGAGGACGTACTTGAGTAGCCCGCCCATCGAAGCGGATATGGCCGGAAACGCGAGAGCCCCGAGGATGATATCAGCGAGGTTGCTCGTTTCATGGATCAGGTCGTCTCGTCGACCTAGCCCCATCTGGCCATTCTGATCCGCGCCCTGGCCTTGATCACCGGCCCCATTGTTGTCGCCCATTCCTACTTGCAATTCCAGATCAATTTCCATGAGGATATGGCCATTGCCATCATCTCGAGGCGGGTCGGCTTCCGGGTGTTCGGGAGGCGCATTGTCGTCGAACTCGTTGACATCCGATTGCCGAGGCTGCACTTCCGCAATCCACCTCCTTTCCAACTTGCCAAAGATCCTTTCATAAATGGTGCTATAGAAACTTTTGACATATGGCAGAGCCGCAAACGTCATCGCGGCGCTAGGTGGCCACAGATCGAAATCGGGATCATGACCGGGATTATGTGTGGCGAAGAACAGTACTGGGATAGCTGGGAGCAGCCCTTCCGCATACCGAGTCTGCGAGAAGATCAACGCCAGTGGGATGAGCGGCAGCCCAAGATTGAGACCCGAGTTCCATGACCCATCCGCGCTCTCTTCCAGAATCTGCCGGGCATCTTCCGGACCGAAAACAAAATACATAGAATACACGCCGTGTGCACAGCATCCAGCCCAGACAGTGCCCGCAAGGGTGAACACCATACCCGGAAGAACCAGTCGACCAGCAACCCGTTCCAACATCCGCACCGTGTCAACGATATAGCTGCGTGGGCGCGAGACGACAATCTCGGATTTACACTGGGGGCACACCATCTTGGCGTTGCGGCCGTTTCGCTTTCGGGACCGGGGGTTTTCTAAGTCGGCAAGCCAATCCAGTAGGCAGGCTTCGTGCGCCGTCAAGGCACATGGACAAGGAGAGCGCCATTCTGTATTGAGGGGAGAGTCCTCGGTCTCGTCCGTGTAGCAAATCCAACATTTACGTGGTTCGTCATTCGATGTATCGACGGCGTTGGAACTCTGAATCGGAGATGCACCGGAGACGTTGCCTTCACTCAATGACGGCTTATTGAGAAAGACCGTCTCATTGTCCTCCATCGATTCCGTTGCTGAGGTAGATGTTTCGGGACTCGTTGTTCTTTCGTCCCTGGTGGAAGCGTTATCGGACGATCGCGGTCTGCCTGCGGAGGCCGAGTAGCCGGAGATTGACTCCATAGTTTAGTTGGTTAAGCAAAGCCGTACCCAGGAAGATGAGTCAGATGACGAGAAACGTTGATCGTACTACTGTAAAAAAACACCACTGTACATCCTGCGAGGGAGTATCGCCCGAGTATCATCGAATCATGGAGGGAAGCCAGGGGCCAGAGTTTGCGGCGAGACGATGGGGGAGGTTTCAGTCACCAGGCAGCTCTTCGTGAATGGAACTGCCACTAAGCCAGCTGCTAAGTTGCTTCGGGTGCCAACCGCGGCTTTGCAGAGGCGAAAACCGCCAGCCGAACGCTCGTCACGTGGGGCCTTGCGGGGCGCTGTTGTGCGGAATAACAGTTGACCCGGGCAGATCTATCCTTTCTCGGCCTAGTCCCATCACCTCACTTTCAACTCTCATTGCGTCCCAATCGGATGAGGAAATCATTGATATGACCTGCAGCACGTTATAGTGAAACTCTTATAGTGACACGCAGGAGCTCAGGCCAAAGTCTATCTGACTCATGCGAGAGTTACCCGGGACTACAATGTTACCCCTGAGTCTGGTTCCTACATCCACCAATGAGAAGTCTGACTTTGGCGTACAGTGAGAACTTGTTAGATCTCTGAACAGCGTGTATACCCTAGCCTTTCAATCTCGGGTTTCAAAGCTTCTATGTTGACATGATCAGGTGAGGAGATCTGCAGGTGCCTCATACCCAAGATATGCTTTCTATATTAGTATTATGCTACACATTACAGCAATATCCTAACCTATGTTCTGTTATACCTCAATCATGTTGGACTTGATACCAGATTCATCAAGATCTTCTGACCCCCTTAGCTCAAGACCATCAGTGTTGCCTTGACTATGTTACAATCCCTGGCATTACCGTGCCAATTAATTTTACACCTGAAGTTTTCGGGCTCGAACCGAGGCATTGACGGTCTGGATGCCCGTCGCCTTGGGGTTTACCTCTGCTTGGAACATGTGTCGGAGGGTTCGGCGGGTGCTGGGAGGCTTGCCGTCCTTGCTGTAGGTGACAAGGTGGAACAGGATGGCAGTCGCTCCATGGTGGTAGGAGTGGAGGAATGTCAAAGGCTTTTCTTGAGAAACAAGAATATGGTATCGAGAAGCTCGAGGTATTTAGTTAAATATGTCAACTAACCAATTCTCAGCGTCTGCGCTACACACGATCGGCTTAGAAGTTTCACCTACGTAGTATAGAACAACTAGGTGGTTCGTCCAGCTGCCGTTCCGATGACATATGGCGTAGAAAATGCCGTTTCGGAAGACGGTAGGAATGAGCTCCTCGATGTAAAGCGTGAGCAGGATAGAACTAATAACGGTGAGGGAGAAGTTGTGAGTTAGAAACAGCAACCTCAATTGGAACGGTGCTCGGTTCGCATCACTTCACGACCTCCAAAGATAATGGTATAATAAATAGCCACAAAGATCTATGTCTCCTTGAGCGTTGACATCGGTGTTGTCCCCACAACAAACTGGAACTCATCGGCAGGGTACCCTGCGACAAGTTCGAAGGCGTTGCTGAAGTGCGGCTATAGGTGCACGCCAAAAGGTCTATCGAGAGATGGAGTGGGACACGACGCTAGAGCCATGGCTTCAAGGAAGAGACAAATTTGAATGATGCTCGACACATGGAAGAGGTTCCCTTTGGTAAAACGCACTCAAATCTGACACTTCCCTATCTTCCTCGCTCATTCTTGGTTTCACTTCAAAACAACAGCGATCTTTGTCTCATGTAATTTGAAAGTCTAATTCCTTTGCTGATCATAAATTCCTCATACAATAAAGCGGTTTAGCAAGCCCTTCGAGAGTGTCAACAGGGGTCGTCATGTTGGGACAACCAACAAAGACCCTGGAGGGCAACGTTTCAAAAGACGCTTTATGTGTGTACTCAATCAATAATAGTGCTTATCTCAAGCAGGAAGGTTCGCATCTCCACGGCGATAAGAGAGGCTATCCGATAGACATGTCGCTTGTCGCAGTAGTATTCCAGTAAAGCAATAACCCCTGGCTGCACTAAATCTAGGACGGAGCGGATCTGGGACGACCGTTTAGCAGCTTCTTCCTAGTTTAGGGACATACTGAAGTCCAGGGATACTGCATTTTCTCTCTGCCTGAGTCGGTATTTGGCCAGCTCGTCATGGAAGGTGTTTCCGGCCGTATAGTTGGACTGACCCGGAGAGCTAGCCACACTGGCAAAAGATGAGAGAATAACAAGGGAATCCAGCCTACTGAGAAGGTGATGGTGTAGGTCCCACATTCCGTTCACATATGACTTAAGACAGCCGATGGGCTGTACTCTCGAAAATGGAGTCCTATGAGATTATCTCAGCATTTTGCTCCTATTCAAGACAGCTATTTCACTTACTCTAAGCTCCATTGCCGCACGAATCGCCATTTGATAGGAGACATATTGACTTTGTAATAATCCAACCCTGCAACCAAAGTTTCTGCATCCCAAACATCATACTGGGGGCTGTCTACAGTGGCATAAGCTACTGGAGGAATCGCGACACTCTGTGAGAGCAGAATCAGGTTCGAGCTCCTTTAGAAACCTACCATTCGGATATAACGCTCCCAGGCCGCCCGCGATCATAAATGTTTCATTCGAGTTGAATTGCCAACCCGACTTGGGCTTAACAATAGCCTTGACAAATGTATTAGAATTCAAACAGTAGAATACCTTACAGATGTGATTCTGAGACTAATTGGAAGAATCCAGTCCTCTCCCTTGGAGTGCAGTGTCCCAAGATTTCGAGCTCGGCCGAGCTCCAGAAAGAAGGTTCAAGCCCCACTAGCTTAATCCACGCCAATGCAACCTTATCGGCCGTACCATCCTTACAGAGGAGGCATCAGTAATACTTCTTCTCCCTTGAGCATCTTCTTCCTAATAGACTATATTCCGAGAGTCACTCGGTGGTTTTTCTTCTTTTATTTTTCTTTTTAGTTTTCCTAACCCAACATCTATGTTGTTCAAGTTTGGGTTGTCAGAATATACTTGACAATCTATTATACTTTCTCCTATTTATCCTTTTAGCTGTCCTTGCTTAGTCGACCTGGGGTGTCCAAGGATGTTAGTATTCATACTGTTTTTCTACTTAGGGCTCGACTTAGTATACTTTATGTTATGTCTTTATGTATATAGTACTATAATGCACAGGGTGTAATATTCATCCTCTTGAAATAGTTCATGTCCCATTAACCTTCGTTTACAGCACGACATACCTTACACCGACATGACCAGGATAGCTCTAGTATGCGCGGACTGAGCCGTTGACTGGAATTCAGATCCCATAAGGGAACTAGGAGTGTGTCATGAGCGTATGCTTTTATGGCCTAAGCTTCTGGGTATGAATAGGTGGGCTTGTATCTTTGATACATTGGTAGGGGCCAAGGCTCATTGAATGTTTGTATGTTCGACTCCAAACCGCATTATAGTGGATCGAATTGTGTCGCTATGGCTGATGTATTGAAACGGGTGTGGCAAAGATACCGAATTTATTCATGGTCAATTACAAAACAGGTCAAAATGACATCCTTTCCTATTATCCCTTAAAGTTTCCAACATAGGTAACATGATAAACATAAGGATTATATACAATATACAGCCGCCTGGAACCGAAGAAACTTTTTGGCGAATCATAAAAAGGATCAACAAGATGCCAATAAAGAAAAATAAAGGGACTCGAGTTCAAGGGTAGAAGAAGCCCGGCCCACATCTCACCGGAAAGATTCCAGCAAGGCCTCGGAGTTGCGGATTTTATCGTGCAGTTTCCTCCCAATGAGTACGGCCGTCTGATGCTACTGGGAGCGCCAACAGGCACCCGCTAGCGTTTTTAGAACCCGCCAGAAAACGCCGTGGATATCGACAGATTAAGAAAAGGTCAATGGGCACTTTGCAATTACAGGATCGGTAGGTCACGTCGTTCCATCATTCATGTCAACTTAGACATTGACCTTCCGCTTCCTCATCAGGGCTTTCCTCTCCTGCTCCTTGGCTAAAACGCAGAGTTAGTACTACTTCACAAAAGGCCGGGAGGTTCAAGAAAACATACCTTCGTCATAAACAAGGAACTCGTGCAGGGCGCTGCCAGCGGGCACCATGGGAAGCACAGGCACCTTACGGTCAGTAATGACCTCGAGCAGAGCGGGGCCGTCGCTCTCAATCAGCCACTTCAGCTTCTCCTCCATATCAGCAGGGTTGACCAGCTTATCAGCAGCAACACCCATGGACTTAGCCAGAGGTACAAAGTCGGGGTTCTTCTGGTGGGTATGCGAATAACGGTCCTCGTAGAAGAGGTTCTGCCATTGGGTCACCATACCCTGCTCCTCGTTGTTCAGCAGGAGGACCTTGACGCCGATGTTGAACTGGGCAGCAGTAGAAAGCTCGGTGAGGGTCATGTTGAAGGAGGCATCTCCATCAATGTCAACGACAAGGGCATCAGGGCAAGCAACCTTGGCGCCAATAGCCGCGGGAAGACCATAGCCCATAGTACCCAAACCACCGGAGGTGATCATACTACGGGGATGGCGCCAACGGAAGTGCTGGGCAGCCCACATCTGATGTTGACCGACACCGGTGGAGATCAGGGTACGGTCCTTCATGTGGGCGGTGAGGTCGCTGAGCTTCTCAATCAAAGTCTGGGGCTTGATGGGACCTTCCGCGGCCTGCTTCTCGTACAGAGAGAAAGGGAAGCGAGCCTTCCAGTCATTGATCTGGGCGAACCACTCGGGGCGCTCCTCCACCTTGTTGACATGGGGAAGAAGATGGCTAATGTTCTCCGCACAGTCACCCTCGACGGCCTCGTTGGCCTGGACGACCTTGTTGATGTTCTTGGGCATGATCTCAAAGTGTACAATACCACCACGGTTCTCGGACGCAGCAAGCTTAGCCTGAGGGGCGAACTTGGTGATGTTACCGGTGACACGGTCATCGAAACGGGCACCAACCGCAATGATCAAATCAGCCTCCTGCATAGCCATGTTGGCGTAGGCCGATCCGTGCATTCCCAGCATATGCAGTGCCTTGGAGTCCAGCTCGTCGAAGCCACCCAGACCCTGCAGAGTCGTGGTGACCGGAATGCAGGCCTTGTCGGCCAATTCCTTCAAGAGCTTCGGGCCTTCGGGGTTAGCGAGAAGACCCTGTCCGACGTAAAGAACGGGCTTCTTGGCGACATTGACCAAACGAGCCACGCGGCCGATGGTGCTTTCGAGCTGCTTCATGCTCAGCTCACGGGCCGCAATGCTCGCCGCGCTCGGCAGAGAGGGAATGGTGCTGTTCATAGGGATAGGCTTGCGGAGGATACCGGCGGTGATATCTTTCGGAAGGTCGACCAGGACGGGACCAGGGCGACCACTGGTTGCGATTTCAAAGGCCTCGTGGATGCGGCGAGGAAGCTCGGCGACAGACTTCACCATAACGTTCCACTTCGTGCAGGCTCTCGAGATACCGATCACGTCGGCTTCCTGGAAAGAGTCGGTACCAATCGCGCTGGTCGGGACCTGACCGCAGAAAACAACCATGGGCGTGCCGTCCGAGAGGGCATCCTGCATGGGAGTAATGACATTAGTGGCACCGGGGCCAGAAGTGACGAGGACAACACCAGGCTCTCCTGAAGCCCGGGCATAACCTTCAGCCATGTGTCCAGCACCCTGCTCATGGCGAGGGAGAATGAAGTCGAAGTGCTTGGAGTTGTAGATAGCATCGAACACGGGAAGAATGGCACCACCGGGGTAGCCAACTATGCATCGGTCAGTCTATTTATGCTCTATGGTCCATGTCGCCCAGAACGTGAGGTGACTCACAGACGTGCTTGACGCCCAAACGGAGCATCATCTCATGGAAAATTTCTCCACCGCTGAGTCCCACGAAACTGTGACAAAGCGCGTTAGACTATGTGTGATTCAACCAGAAGAGCTCCACGGAGTCCACGTACGAATCATCCAATTCAGGCACATTTCGGTTCTGCAACGGCGATACTTCACTGCGAGGAGGTTCCAGGTTGAAGGCGGGGCTTGGGGCGGGACGAGACTTTCTATACCGGTGCACATTATGGTTAACAAGGCTCAATTGGTTCCCAAGGTCCCTGAGCAAACCGAGAGACTCACGAAGTAGTAGCTGTAGCAGTGCTCTGGGATCGTTTCTGAGCAGAAAAGCGGTGGGGCGAGACGGCCGCGGCCACCGAGGAAGACGTAAAACACCTTCTTCCAGAGGTCATATACCTCTGGTAGTGCATGGCGCGCATGGCGCTTTTGGATGGTCTTAGAGGCATCATCTTTGCGGCGGATGACTGCCAGGCCAAACAGAAAAAATAAATGGGTTTAGAAAATGGGAAGGGGGAAAGAGACCACGGACCTGGTGTGAGTAAGAGGTCCTTAAGACCAGGCGGAAGAAGACTCAGACTCAGTGTCTGGTGTGGCTAATCCATCCCTGGTTAGCGCCATTCAGTCTCGAATAATTCCGCCCCCTTGATTGGCTCAATTCGCCTGCTAGCTCCGATCATCGGCGCCCATTCGAAGGTCTGCCGTCACCTGATTGGTGAGATGGGGCCTCAGGCAAGAGGAAAAAAAGAGGATCCTCGGTCACTCGAAATGGCACTAGCCACGGAGTAGGGCCCTAACTCCGTACGTTTGGATCTGGGGAAAGCAAACGGGAAATTCAGAGAGCTTCAAGGTAAAACAAACATATAAGCAAGAATGACCACCATTGATTTCATGATGACGGCGGATACAATCATGATCTTGACTGTTACTTGGGACAAACCTGCGAGAAATCTCTCTTATTGCAGGTCTTGCATGAGCAGTCGCAGATTTCCCTACCACTCACAAGCCTGGCCGATTCCGGAGATGCACATGCAACCATGTTCGTATGAATCATCCGAAATAGATTCCCTGAGGTAACAACAACCATAACCCTAATGGACCAACAATGACTCAATTTGATATTCATGTATTTGATCGCTTTCTCCTTGGACCTGACCAGAATAGACAAGCCAATACAGCGAATAATAATATTTTTTTTTTTTTTTAAAAAAAAAAAAAAAGAAAAGAAAAGAAAAGAAAAGAAAAGAAAAGGGCAAAAAGATGAGTAGATATATATGCAGGAACTACTACTAGTACATCGCCACACAGGAATTTGAAACCAGACCTCTCCGTACAGTTGTCCTACAGCTTTCTAGTCTATGTTTAGTGTCTACAATGTCAGTCTGCATAGAAACGATTCAAGCTTTCTTTGTATATAGCTTTCAATTTCTCTTCTCTCCAGATCCGAATTTTCATTATCGTTTTTGGAATAGGCTAATAGCAGGCCAATTGCCAAGAAAGGGATCTATTATATAACGTTACATTTATTTAAAAGCTATATAAAGTGATACCTCGCGTTAGGATTTTGTTTTGTAAACAGCGCACCTGTGAATGATGCTATGCGGTTAGTTTTGTTCTTCGAATAACTAATTCTCAGAGTTCCTGCACTGTGTGGAGAATTAATGTTTTACTTATAATATCCACAAAACCCACCCTGTCCGTTCGTCGATGGAGTAAAGTGAAGTGACGTACCTGGCCTGACCCGTCGTTTGTATATACTCCGCAACGATTTTCTCCAGAATACTGGTCGTCAGCTTGAGCAGGCTTTTCATTGATTAAAGAGCTTGTGGTGGAATTATTTCATTATCTATATATTCAATAATTTCCTAAATAATAGACGTGTTATACCTCATCAAATTGGACTCCAGGTAAAAATAGCTGGTCGATGGACTCAACTACCAACTGTAACAGGTTGGATGTCATACATCTACTTTATCCTGACATTGGCTCTTATTAACTATATTCCCTCAACTGAGGGTCCTAAGAAATATAAGAAATAAAATAGAAAAAATAAGTAAGCTATATCTTATAAAGATAAGTATTATTGGCTGGAGTAGACAGAGACGGTTGAATTACTACACGGTACTAATACACTAGGTGTATAGTGCATAGCTATTGTAATATGTTACTATTTGTAGTACTAGTGTGGACAGCGTTCTGAACTTGTGCAGCTGATCTTCCTTCCCCACTCATTTCCCTTCCATTCAGGCAATTTAATCATATTTCGATATTACCTCTGTCGACTCCGGCTCTGTTCACGATGTGGAAACCAGTAGCTGTCCCCTTTCAGAACTTCCAGCCTCTGCCTAATCTACCTACAACAGATGAAATCCGCGCTTGCACCAATGTTCTGTGGGAGACCCAGGCCTCCAAGATTGTGGCGGTGAACGACGATATTGTGGTAAAATATGGGGGTTGTATAAGCGTCGCGGAAGGCCAGGCTTTGGTTTACCTTGAACGACACGCCCCAGAAGTTCCGGCCCCTCGACTGTACGCCATGTACTATGATTCCAAGCAACTTTTCTTGATCATGCAACGCATTCCCGGGGTACAGCTGAAGTCCATTTGGCCATCATTGGAGCCCTCTGAGAAGGATGATATTGTCGCAAAACTCCAAGCAGTATTCGACACAATGCGAAAGGTCGAGTGTCCATGGCCCGACTTTTTCGGAGGCCTGGGCGGGGGTGCTGTATATCACTACCTATTCTATAGCCAACATGGCGATCAGGAATTTCTGGGCCCTTTCTCCGGCGAACCTGCCTTTGTTGCGGGCCTTGTCGGGAACTATAGAGCCTTGGTCGAACGCAATAAACACCCAGACTACAAGGCTCGCTTTTACGAAAAATACCTCCCTCGCGTCCTTCAAGGTCACCGGCCCACATTGACGCATGGGGACGCTCAGCAGAAGAACATCATGGTCGTGGAGAATACAAGTCGCCAAAACGATCAAGGTGGGCGATCATTTGACGTCGTACTAGTCGATTGGGAGAATTCCGGTTGGTTTCCTGACTTCTGGGAATACTTTTGTGCATCCTGGCCCCTTAATTTCGATTGGAGTGAAGATTGGTCCTGGCGACTCCAGGAGTGTGTTCAAGTATGGCCCGCCGAGATGGCCATGATGCAACTGATTGACAGGGATCTAGGTATGTGAAGTACGTTGATGTGTTTAGAAGGGAATGGATGTAATTTTTTGACCATAAAGAAGACAAATAAAACAAAACAAACGATCGGTTATCCTGAGTCTAAACATCCTATTATGTAGTTTATAACTAATTGCTTCATAACCAACGCCATAGTCTACGATCTCTTGGCTACCCTCCATGCGTAAACGCCAGCAAAGTACGCCAGAACTCATTCTGAATAATAATTTAGAACGAAAATACATTCAAAGTTGATTCGTGTACTTAAGCCCTTTCCTGGATGTCCATTTGCACCTTCTTACCTCCACAGATATTGACGGGTATAATCGACCTATGCCTCTTCCTAGGACTCCCCAATTCAACACGTACGTCACTCTCATCTTTGCTCTTTATTACTAGGTCACGTCGCTCATGAATTAGCTCATCCTCGAGAATAGCATATCGTGCATATTTATCAATTGGAGGCCGTAGGGGGTGCGGCGCCATAGTCCATTACGACTCTGTGAAAAGCTGACGAGTCCAGTCCTCATTCACCTTCATCATATCAAAATTCCATGCACTGCTTTCGATGCACAGGCCTCGAATAGTCAGGAAAAGATTCTCGACTTGGCAGACTGGATAAACTCGACCACCGAATACACGGGTTTCCCAAGCAGTGCCAGCCTCGCGGCAGGTTATACCAGGGGGTGTTTCAAATGGCTCGTTATTAGAGCATAATGGACCAGCTCGGCTGCTACGGAACTTCAATACATGGGCTAGTCCATGCCCCAGTAAGACTGCCAGAAAGACCAGACCCGCTAGTTTATGACTGTGGGTTGAAGTCGAATCCTTCAAGAGTCGAATGATGTTGTAGTCTAAGGTTATCAGATCTGACATCGTGTTAGGGCGCAGTGTTGTTTCTGCAAATGGGGATGAGCTTGGGTGTATGGCAGGGTCAAAGTCGATGTCGGGAATGGCGTTTTTGATACATCTAAGAATCTCATCCTTGGATAATTCCAGCTTCGCATCAGTTTCATGCCATATATCTGGGAAGCTTGGGTGTCGGTGCCGAACGAAGATGCCAAACGATTCCCAGTGTTGCACTATGATCCGTGATATGAGGAGAAGCGCTGGTTGGATTAGTGTATAGGCGTTGCGCGCGGCAGGGGTATCTCTTTCACAAAATCTGGGGAATTTCGAGCTTGGGAATAGATTCTCATTTTGTAGGTCGCAGAAGCTGGATGGGTAGTTTTTGTACTTCTCCATGACGAAGTCTTCTTCAGCGAAGCCACAGGGGTTGCCTGTAGTCTTAGTAGTCATGGTGTGGGTTTGCAAGCTGTGACTTTTACAATAGCAGCTTGCTTGTGCTTATAATGGTGTTGTGTAAGTCTCATAGGCAGAAGTGGTAGGAGCCCAGACCACGGTAACGTAAGTATGATGATGATGATGATGATTCACTCAGCTCCCTCAGATGTGTCACGATATTAACCAAATTGATGAGAGGGGAATGTCTAATCTGAAGGGTTTACTTCCTGGATGTCCCGGAAAGATGGATGTATGTACGTGGTTGTCTAGTATGAGATATGCTACAGTCTACTCAACAATTTGCTTTATAAATTATAATATTTCTGTATATTCATCTTTCGTTTTCTTTTTCTTTTGGCTAGAATAAAAGGGGCATATTTCCTGGAAACAGAAGAGGTGTGATGTGGGGTGGTGCGTCCCCGTTGAAAATTGAATAGCCTGTTTACCTGGGTTGACGCGAAAGAACGTCGGTTAATTTCATTAGACTCGGTACAGTCGGCTCAACGCGATAATCTACAGAAGCATTAAGTCGGGGATCCAGACCGTATGGGTGCGAACATCGCGTTACCGTTGGAAAGGAGCGAATGTGAAAGCACCGTATACAGTAGAGTACGAAAAAAGCAAAGAGGAAAGCTTGTTTAGAAGACCACGAAGCTGCGGTCGGCTATAAAAAGACCAAGGGTCGGGGGGTAATAATGCGGCAGGCCGAGAGAGACTCGGGAGAAATGTGGGGTTCGGTTGAAAAAGCTGGAGACTCGGAGTGCCGGTGAGCCGTAAGCGCTGATTTCATGGCTTCTCCAGGCACGGGATCGCGTGGGCAGCGTCATTAGGACATGAACGGATGCCCCGTTTATCCCGGGCGGCCAATCATCCGGTGCTGGAGTCGCAGGGCTCTTGTTCTCCATTTGCGGGGCATTTCCTCCTCCGTCCAATTTTCCACCCCTCTCATGACCGTATTTTTTTCTCTCTTATACTAGTAATACATTGTTTTAATTAAATACCCCTCCTCCCCTCGCCCTTTTTCTGTCTTGCTTCTTTATTCTGTCGTTATTTTCCCCTTCCCACTCAACTCGACCACACATTCCCCCGCCATGGCAACAACCCCGCAAGAGCTTGTCCCGCAGACGGAGAACATCGCTGAGGTCTATGCCACAGACGATGCCTCAGTCACCTCCGTTGCTCCAGAGCACCAGGTCCGTTTCAACGGTCTGATCTCCAAATTCAATCAACTGTATAACCACCGCCCCGACTTTGTCTCCCGCAGTCCTGGCCGTGTCAACATTATCGGCGAGCACATTGACTACAACCTGTACGATGTCCTTCCGACGGCTGTCAGCGTCGACGTCATCATGGCCGTGAAGGTGGTGCCCTCCACCGGAGAGCCATTTGTGAAGATCGCCAACGTCCAGCCCGAGAAATTCCCCTCTCGCGAATTCACAGTCCCCCGCGACACGGATATTGAGATTGATCCGAAGCAGCACGAATGGGTCAACTACTTCCGCGCGGGACTCCTGGGCGCCTTGAAGTTCTTGCGCAAAACCAAGCAAGATGGCTCCTTTGTGCCCGCCAGCGTAGAAGTGCTCGTGGATGGTAATGTGCCCCCGGGCGGTGGAATCTCCAGCAGCGCGGCGTTCGTGTGCTCGAGCGCGCTGGCTGTCATGAAAGCGAACAACCACAACGTCTCCAAGCAAGACCTGCTTGACCTGGCCGTGGTCTCGGAGCGTGCCGTGGGCGTGTACTCTGGCGGGTAAGTACTGAGAACCCCCTCCGGTCGTTCACTCTTCTCACACTTCATAGCATGGACCAAGCCGCCTCCATCTTCTCCCGTCGCGGATACCTGCTCTACACCCAATTCTTCCCCAACTTCTCCGTCCAGCACGTCCCCATCCCCAAAGCCACCGAAGAGATCACCTTCCTCATGGCCCAGAGCTTCGTCACCTCCAACAAAGCCGAGACCGCGCCCCGCCACTACAACTTGCGCGTCGCCGAATGCACCCTCGCCGCCGTGGTCCTAGCCGCCCAGCACGGCCTGACCCTGCCCAAGGACAACAGTTCGCTGGGCTACAGTCTGCGGAACTTCCACGAAGAGCTCATGCGCAAGGAAGGCCGCCTCGGCGACCCGCTCGAGTACCAGATCGACTCCGTCATCCAGACCACCATGGAGCTGCTCGGCCAGGAACAAGGCTACACGCGCGAGGAGATCGCCCAGCTGCTCGGCATCACGGTCGCAGACCTCGAAGCCAAATACCTCTCTTCCTTCCCCGTGCAGGCCGAGCGCTTCCTCCTGCGCCAGCGCGCCCTCCACTGCTACACCGAGGCCCGTCGCGTGCTCGACTTCAAGGCCTGCCTCGCCAAGGCAGCGACCCTCGACGACAGGCGCATCCAGTACCTCGGACAGCTGCTGAACGAGTCCCAGGCCTCCTGCCGCACCCAGTATGAGTGCAGCGCGCCCGAGGTCGACGATATCTGTGCGATTGCCCGGCGCGCGGGTACCTGGGGTAGCCGTCTGACCGGTGCGGGATGGGGTGGCTGCACTGTGCATATGCTGCCGCAGTCTAAGGTGGATGCTGTGATCAAGGCGCTCAAGGAGGAGTACTACCTGAAGAAGTTCCCGGATATCACCGACGAGAAGCTGGCCCAGGCGATGGTTATTAGCAAGCCTTCCAACGGCTCCTTTGTGTATGTCCTGCCTTCTCTTTACGTTGTGAATGATGTGCATCTTGCTAACTTGCGCTTCGAATAGGGTTACGGGAGAGGCCATTGCTCAAGTCAATGTCTAAAACTAACTTAAGGGAAAATAAATTTTTAAAAAAAAAGAAAGAAAAAGGAACGGGATGGATGAATTGAATTTGGAATTAAATATTGTATATAGTCTCCAATCCGTTACTGAAATTGTATTGGCGCTAGCGTCAGATATGCAGACATGACCAGCAGGCTTGAGGCCATGTAGACTGTTACCCTGAGAAGCCTGACTTTCCCCTTGTCGTGAGAGGTTTTCTCTTCTTGCTATTATTTGACCTTCGAGATACTCACAGTGTATTGCGCCGACTGGCTCGACTTCTTACTGAGCCTTCTGGTCCCATGACTCTGCTTGTATTCCATCTAGTACGGGACCTGAGAACGAGCAGAATGGTCTCCGTTCCACCGACGGCAGCTGGGTAATCATTGATCCCAGACTGAACGGCGAAGGTAGCGTGCGACTGCCAACATGAAGTCTGATTCCGTGTCGAATAAGGTTTCATGCACACGACTCAAGATTTCTTCTTGGCGGCCGCCTTGGAAAAGAAGTCGCTCATCTTCTTCATTCCCGTGGTGTTCACCTTCTTCAAGTCCCGGACTCCCCGAGATTCTCCCGCCTTCTTTTTCTTCTCCTCTTCCTCCTTGCGGCGCTTCTTCTCCGCCCGTGACTCGGCGCCTTCGTCGTCATCGATGTCTCGCTTCCGGCTGAAGTCTCCCAAAGACCGGGACGCGAGGGCCTCTGCGCGAAGCTCCGCCACATGCTTGAGATGATCATGCATAGGCTTGAAGTCTATAGGGCTCTCGGAGCTGGAGAGTAGCTCATCGACCTTGGCGCGCAGAGCCGCAGACAGGTAGGAGTCCTTCATGAAGGCGAGAGCCGTCGAGATCCTCAGGAGACGAGCCACATCGTCTGAAGCTGCTGGCGCATTTGGCGGCACTTCTGTAGCAGGGGTGGATACGTCGGAGGGCGTAGGGACCGACGTCGAGCTTGCTGTTGTTGCCGGTGTCTCCTTGTCTTCCAGTGGTGCTGCTTCGCCCTCAGTAGTACCGGACGACGCTGCATTGGTCGACGCGTCCTCTCGCTTGACAGCCATCAGCGGCGTGGACAACGCTTGGCGGATAAAGCGTTCCTCCATGCTGGCGGGAAGTCCCAGTGCGACCATCCGCTCTGCCTTGGCAATCAATTCCCGGAGAAGTTTCGCTTCACTGAATCGGAACATTTTCTCATCCCCGGCCTCCACCGAATCGCAAATCGCCTCCGCTCGCGCCTGTAAGACAGTCCTGAAAGATTCATCGTAGAGAACATGCCGGAAGTGCTTGGGGAGGTCGTCCTGCGAGTCGATGATGTCGTCCAGGGGCTGGAATAGGCCTTTCGCCTGGGAAGAAGTCGGGCATAGTAGAGGAATCAAGAAGAAGACCACGTCTATGGGCGTTGCGATCAACAATTGCGCGGTTTTCGCTACAGTCGCATTCCCGGGCTGGGACTGTTTTCCATCCGATGCCGTGCTGGTCTCCGCCTTGGGGGTGAAAAGGACGCTTCGTGGGGACTGCGAGGAAGAGGTAACCGCGGTGAATTCGTAGATTCCCTGCTGTGGGCAGAAGTAATAGCGAGTGAGTTCTCCGGTTTGGGGGTTGGGCAATTGGAGGAACCGGGCTTGGTCGCTGGCGGAAGAAGGGAGGATGAATGTCTTGCCGGGTTTCTCGGTCGTCAGCGGCGGTTTGGAGGGCTGATCCGGCTTGGATTGCTCGGACGAAGGAGCCGACGATCGGGTGCGCATGGTGAGGTAGTAATAGGACTCGTTTGAGAGAATTGAAGGTTCGAAGTGACTACTAGGTAGTACTAGTAGTGCTAGTGAGTACTCACTGTGTACTCGGTACTAAACGCGTGCCTGAAATTAATTCCAACTCCGACGCGACATCACGCGCAGCCAATCACGGCCGCAGTTCCGCCGACCAGTAGAAAGCCCAAGCGACAACCTTTCTTTACCAACTAATGCAACTCAACCGTGTGTGTGTGTTGTATGCCTTGCTGATGACAGACAGTGTCTTGCTGAATGCTCACGTCCTTTCCCTCCCTGTTCACCCCTTCGGTCGTCCAGAGTCATTTATTGTTGCGCCGTCGTCGGCCTCTACCTCTCTACCTCCATTGGCATTCCCCGCATCCATACGGGCCTGAACATGGCCAAAACCCACGGGAAGGCGCAATCCGAGAACAAATAGTGGCATTCTTAGCGTGTTAATAGTGGTAGCATTGGTGTGGCGCTACCGCAAACCCTGCTTTTCCAACGACAAAGAAAATCCAGAGCCCGATGACCAGTAGTGAGTACGAAAAACTTCCCTATCCCTTCCGCGGCCCTGGACTGATGATTCCCGCCCCGAAGTGGTCGACATCTCGTGGCCCCCCAAGTCCCCCAGGGAGGCGCTGCTGAGCTCTCCCAGCGGTCGAAGAAAATATGAAGAGATGCAGCGCCGTCGAGAAAATTTCGCGTCCCCTCTCAAACGTTCCACTACAACCCCGGACCTTCGAACAAGGTCGGGACAGCTCTTAGACGACGGTCTCGAGGACGACGATGAAGATGAGGATGAGGAAACGCTGAAATTGAAGTTAGCAGCTATCGAGGCGCGACTGAAGCTGAAGCAACTGCAGAAAAATCGTGGGAAGCCAGGCACGCCGGGACCGGACGCGCACGACAGAGACGAGATACTGTCCAGACCAGGATCCGCGGTGAGCGCCTCGTCACGGGCTCAGGACAATTTCTCAAGGATGAAGAGCGCCAGAGAAGTGTCGAGCAGATTCGAGCCCAATGATGTGCAGGTCCCATTGTCGCCGACACGGCGTCCGGCAGCCGCAGCTCCGCCCGCCTCCCCGCGAAGGTATATCCTCGGTATCGACAAGGGCCTCAAAGGCAGTGATGTTTCTCTAAAGCGACCTCCAAGCTCCAGGTCTACCGGCCGACCGACCAGCGGAGGTGGTCTTCGAGACGGCATGGCGTTGCATTCCCACAATGCCCTAACGCAGGCTTTAGCAGGGGAACCAGGAAACCGCCCCAAGAGCTTCAGTGAGCGAATGGCCGAGAGCAGATCTGCCGACAAACTCCGAAGGGAACGGGCAGAGAGGCTGCAAGTCAACAGGAGCTCAGCATTCCAATTCGACAAGGCAGAGGTGGACGCATTCAAAGCGGCAGCCGAGGCAAGGAAGGGGTCTCCTACACGGTCACCGGCCAGAAATCGACAGACTGAAAGCTTCAGCCGAGATGACATTCTACGGTCATGCAATAATCTCAAGCCTGCAGGCCTGAAAAGAAGCCAGACTCTTCCCAGTGTACGAAGGAACCTTGATCAGGATGAGCCCGGATCATATCTCCATAGACGAAACCAAAAGTCTGAATCGGAAGCACAGACAGCTTCGTCTACCAGTTTTGAACATACCGGCTCTGACGACACTCGCGAAGGGAGTGCACCAGACAAGACTCCTGACTCTTCGAAATTCGAACCCTTTTCCTCCCTTCATCTTTCTAACCGTATCCTACCGCACTCCTTTCTAACCCGCACCCTTGCTGACAAGAAGGTCCTCCGCATTCCCGATCTTCTGCGAACCGTGAAGGGGCCCGCCTTTGAGCTCCCTGAAACTATCAACGGCGACTACGTGGTCTTTGGAATAGTAGCCTCGAAGTCCGAGCCCAGAGAGATCAAAGACTCGAAAAAGGTGTCTGCAAAAGAAGCCGATCCCTTTGACGAAGGACTGAACAACACCAGCAGATACATGTGCATCCAGCTCACAGACCTGAAATGGACCATTGATCTTTTCCTTTTCGACACCGCTTTCCCGCGGTACTACAGGCTATCCGAGGGCATTCTCATCGCCATCCTGAACCCGACGATTTTGCCCCCGCCGAAGCACAAGCTCGACACCAACAAGTTCAGTCTCGCCATTTCGTCGTCCGACGACAAGGTCCTGGAGATAGGCTATGCGCAAGACATCGGCTTCTGCAAGGCCGTCAGGAAAGACGGCAAGACATGCCAAGCGTGGGTTGACGCCCGCAAGACGGAGTTCTGTGACTTCCACATCGACATCCAAGTTCGCCGCACCCAGTCCCAAAGAATGGGAGTCAACAATGGGACAGGCATGTTCGGTCCGGGTGGACGCTCGGGGCCACGCACTGGCTTTTTCGGCAACGGCAAAGCGAAGGGCGAAGGGCCCCGAAAGGGACTGAAACCCAACGGAGCACAATACGATTTCCAGTCCCAGTCTCTATACTACGTTGCGCCGGCCCCCAAGTCCCGAGCCGGCAACGGCGGCTCCTCCTTCGTCATGCCAGGCGGCCAATCTGCCGCTCGACTCATCGACGCCGACGACGAAGACCCATTCATTGCTGCAGGCCGGATGGGCCGCGGAATGGAAAACAAAGAAGAGCGATTCCGCCGCCGGCTGGTCGAACAGCAGCGGGAGCGCGATATCGCCCAGAAGCTCACCTCGCGGGGAATCGGGATGGGCGCTGAATATCTTCGGGCTCGAAATCCCGAGAACGTCTCGTCGGAGAATATCACACCGGCAAAGACAACCCCTAACCCGGAGACCCCTTCGAGCCACTCAGGCCTGCTCGGCTTCAGGAAAGCAAACACGGTGAAACTGGGCCCGTTGAAGCGCGCTCATGACGGGACACACGGCAACAGCGTGAAAAAGACCCGATTCATCACCGCCAAGGGCATCAAGGAAGCCGGAAGAGATAGCCTGGGGATGTCCACAGGCTTCGATGATGACGATGACGACGAGCTGGATATCATATAAGACAACCAGTACTGCAGATGAACATAGACACAAAAGAACCAAGCCACGTTTTGATGAACGCTAACGTCCTCAATAGAGGCTCTTGGAGTTGTTGGAGTTTTTTTCTTTCCTCTCCTTTCCTTTCTTTTCTTCTTTTCCTTTCTTTCTTTCTTTCTTTCTTTCTTTTTTTTTTTTTTTTTTTTTTTTTTTTTGTTTGTGGATATGAAGTGTGTTGGTGTGTTGGTGTGTCGGTTGTTTATACTTGGGAGTTATGTGTCAGAGAGCTTTGTAGATTAGCCACATTTTTTGTTACCCTTGCATGTACCCTTCTGCTCGGCGCTTCTTATACTTTGATAGTCCCTTCTGGCTGCCTTTATATCTCTTACTTCTAGCAGGCTACGGAGTATTTTATACCTCTTATTCAACCCATTCCTTTGAATAACCTGTACAGCCATACACAAACTTCAAGATTATATATGTTTAGCGCGTAGCTCTGAGCAGAAAGAGTAGGCAGTGGCATTGAATTGTATACCTTCTGCGATTAGATAGGTTACAGAGGACAAGCTTAGTAGAGATGATATTGGGTCATTGGATATCTAAACTAAAGCTATCGAGAGAAGAGCTCAAATACACGCCGGGCTCAGAGGCGGGAAAAAAAAAGCATGAGAAACAAAAAAACAAACTCCATCCAGTAATGTGCTTGCCAGCCAAATCCCTATACCTGTCCATTTACCCATTCCCGTATCCCATTCCGACTGCTGCCCAACAAAGACTTGATTGTATGAACAGACGCAAACCGAGCGCAGCCGGACTTTTAAAAAAGGTTCTTAGCCCTGAATCTTTGCATTCAAGAAAAGTCAACATGTCTTAATAACCAGAATCGCCATTAGGAAAAAGACGTAAAAATTCAGAGCATCAAAAGCTGAATCACATCGCATGCCAATAACATCTGAAATTATGTAGGTCAGGACGATGTGGCGGCAGCTCGGCTTCCTCTGGTTTTCTTGGTAGCCGGGCCACCGGGACTACCGGCCGTCTCAGCAGCGTCCCTCTTTCTGGCCTTGGACCCTGCGGGCACAGGAGTCGGTTTCCTTCTCAGCCAACCATCAAAGGGACTAACGCGTTTCTTTTTGGTCTCTGGGACCGTAGGTGTTGTGTGCTCCGAATCATCACGCTTGGCTCGAGGACGCAATGAGCGTATTGTCGCACCAGGCGAGGGAGGGGTATCAACAGTATTTGGTGGAGGAGTGACTGGCCGCTGCTTCATCTCAACGTCGACGGGGCGATCGACAGTTTCTGCGACATCAGGAACGGCCATGTGGTCCTCTATATCAGTAGCTGCTTCTTCATCGACATCGCTAACATAATTTGACGGAGGCGCGCGGTCGTTTGCTGCGGGGAAGAGCACACGAGGCTTGATGGACGAGCGAGTGAGTGGTCGAACGTTGGCAGTAATGTCTTCATCCAACAAATCCGGGCGAGCTGCAAGCAAGCCCAGGTCGTCATCTTCATCATCGCCATCACTCTCAACTGGCTCAACGAACTTGCGGAAGATTTTCTTGCCACGGCTGCGGGATTCGTTAGCGAGTACGCTCGACAGATCTCGAAGAATATACTTACAACACATAAGTCATGCCATCGTCACGTTTGACTGATTCGTCAACCTCCTTGTCACGCTTGCTTTGCTCTGCCCTGCGTCTCGAAAATCGTGTGGGGACAGTGGGCTTCTTGCAGAATGGGTTGTCTTCGCTTTCGTCCGGCTCTGGAATTCGGTCACGAGAGTCGGTGTAAATTTGGATATCAGATCCGCCCTGAGCATTGTCGTCAAAGCTATCCAGTGAAAAGCCGGTGTATTTCTTGCTCCTCTTGGTACGTCCCGAGGGCGGAGGGAAAAGAGTGCGTGCCGTGCTTCCAACATCGCCGACCGCTTTCTTCTTTGGCGTTTTGGCAGGTGTTGGCAGCATTCCCTGTGACATGGTGGTCCGGAATGCGTGTAAAGGACGAGTTGAGTTGGAAGGCTCCGATGTGCCGAAAGGATCTGAGTCGTCTAGTTCAGAGGCGCCATCCAGCAGGAAACTGCCGATCCGATCTGTTGTCTTCTTGCGGGGCGATCTGCGAGCAGATTCGGGTGGTGACAATGCTCCCAGTTCCTTATGTTGCTTCTTTGTACCTTTCAAACTCTGCGATGGCGGAAAATTCGGCGGAGGAGTTGTGTGTCTCTCCTTTGATGCCCGTTGACCGGCTAGCCGCGCAGAATGCCGCGTAGAGTACGGCTCATATTGGTCGTATCCAGGTCCATGTCGTGGAGTGGGAGGCACCCGAAGAGTTGACGGCGGCGGAGGTGTCGTCGCCATTGTGAGAGATGTTCAACACTCAGAACTCGGATTATGCACACACGATATCGAGCAGTAATGATTGAAGACGAGGTTCGTGACCAAGAGTGGTTGTCAGGCGTGGACGATGTGAGCGGTAAAATTGGGCGGTCGCGAGTCCAAGGGGTACCAAGGGAGGAAAGACGCGCGCGAGTACGCCAAAAGCCGACCGAATGACGGGTAGAACTCTGAAGCTCGACTAGCGATCGATTCGTCTATGGAGTCGAGTGGGTAAGATCCGATGGATAATTGTGGAAAGAAAAAAGGAGAGAATTAAATTAATTAATTCTTATCGAGCGATAAAGGGAACGATAGCGATGGTGGAGGAGAAAACGAGAGGGTTGGAAGAAGTTTGGTGTTGGTGACGGGGGGGAGCAACGAACGAGGAATGCTTGACGTCGACCCAGCCACACATTTAACAGTGAGGCTGAACCAATCATCCGCCCCACCGCCCCTCAGGCATTGATTCACCATTCCCGCCTTAGGTCTTAGGCGACGATAAGTCACCATAACCCAGCACTTATCTACACGTGCAGACAACTAAAATAGTCCGATTTGTTTGCTGTCCCTCTTCCCCTCCACAACCACAACTATCCCCACCCTTAGCCTTGCAAACCATGGCTTTCCGCAGCACGGCGGAGGAAATGGAACGACTCCAACTCTCCGATGAAGACACAGACGACCTCTGGGATTCTCCCTCCAAGCGGGGCAGTAGGAAATTGAATCAAATACCCGTGAAAGAAGAAAGCACCACACCCCCGCCCATATCCTCCCACGATGGTGAAACGCTGTTCGACCGCCAAGAGGCGCGTGAGGCAGCCTTGCGGAACGAGTTACAGAGTGTCCGGAACATCAATCAGGTGATTGAAGGCCTTCTGAATAGCCTTGATCGGGCAAAGGGTAACATGGATGTATGTCGAATCTTTTATTGACTTTCCCAGTCAAGCCGTTTCCGGATCGCCAATTTAACAAAAACCCTACAATAGACCGTTTCGCGTACCGTTGATTCCGCGTCAACATTACTAAACACTTGGACGCGAATTCTATCTCAGACTGAGCATAACCAGCGGTTGATCCTCAATCCAAACTGGCAAGGTGCTGTTCAAGATGTTGCCGACTTGGAGAACGAAGAGCGCCTCAAGCAACAAGCCGCGGAAAGACGGGAACGAGAGTTGCAGGAACAGAGAGAGGCAGCGGCTCGGAGAGCCGAGGAAGAAGAGAAGAGAAGAACGCAAGCCGCTGCTCGAGGCACACGTGGCAGGGTCCGCAGCAGCGGTCTGGGAAGAACACCAAGTGTCTCCTACTCAAGAACCAATCCGAGTGCAACAAGGACCACATCCACTGCGACAAGAGGATCTACAACCACAAATACACGGAGACCGGTCAGCGGAATTGCCCGAGGCCCTAGCGTTACGCGTGGTCGAGGTAGAACTTGAAGAGCTTTGCATAAATGACGAGACGTCTTCATGTACATTACGAGATTTCAATGAGGTAAAAACTTGCAATATGATACCCAGGAGCATAGACGGTATACAGCCCTTTTTTCTTCTATTTCTTTTTTTCCCAGGTCAGTGTAAATTGGTGTAGTGCAGTCGTAAACATGATACTCGGGTAGGAGATTTATCAACACGACGCGTTTTCTGCCTCAGGCGCCAAGACGTCACCGCCATCATGAGCGGCCGATAAAGCTTTACCACCTGATAAGAACCTCACGCCATAATCCCGACGTCCACCTTGCCTGCGATCGCTATATCGAGCGCAATGAATTTCGCTCCCTATCAGGATGAATCCCCCGAGGTCGAGCGGGCAATGTCGCCTGCCCTCGGCGATGCCAATCGCGTGAAATCGCCCATTCTCAGATCTCCTGTCGGCTCTCCTCCAATCCCAAATCTCGCATCTAACGCGCTTCCGTCACCGAGTCACTTTACCGGTGGAGTTCAAACAGGGGCAACTGGGTTCGGAAATAATGGTTATGGCGGAGATGTTGAAAGGGGAAGATGGAACATGGGAGCTTTCGATACGAGTCTACCCATCCGTATGGATTTTGAAGCTATGCTGGCATATCTGCTTCTGCCTCCTGCGGGTGGTGTCTTCCTTCTACTAGTAGAACACAAAAGCGATTATGTACGGTAAGTGTCAAAACAAACCCGACGATGCACTTCCTGGCAAATTTACTAATGTTATGCAGCTTTCATGCATGGCAGTCAAGTATGCTTTTTACCGTCATGTTTGTATGTCAAGCCACGTGTCCGACCTTGCGTGAAATGCGCGCTTACAGTTTGTTAGATAATCCATCTCATATTCGCTTGGTCAAGCTTTTTGTCATGGACTCTGCTCCTATGCGATTTGGCCATGATCGGTTTCTTGAGCATGCGTGCTTATCGCGACGGTAAGTCAAGGCATAGGCTGAGAAACACCCTGTAGTACTAACCAAGTCCCAGTTGACACACTTGATCACTACGAAGTGCCCATATTTGGCCGTCTGGCAAACTCCTTTGTTGACGACGAATAAACCTAATTCCGCTTTCAATGGCGATGCATCCGTTTCATATACCCCCCTATGTTCCTCTCGCCGACAAAGCATCGTCTTTTCCCACGGGAAAAACCCCCAGAATCTACCCATTGGGGATGAATTTTCCATTGTATAATGATGACCCAAAAGGGTTATTTGATTTACCTACTACACCCAGAACATGTTTTCCAGAAAGTGGATGGGTGCACATATCAACCTAGCACATCCCAACCCCACCAATGTACATACGTACAACATGCCCATGTACTCTAAATCCATGTATTCAAGCCACATCTTCGCGTGAAGGATTCCTATCCCATTCTTGCACTCAACATACCCATACCCGTGCACTGCCCGCAAATTCACAGGATCAATGTGGAGTTAATCTGTTCACGTTTGTCGCAATATCCCGCCCTCAAATTCACTCCCACGCCCCAAATAATACCAACGACTAAGCTATGCTATATACAATTTCTCTCGTGTTCGATCCTCGTCTACACACAAATTCCAGAATACCACACTTAATTCCATCCATTCTTTTCTCTCCCATCGAGCTATTAAGCTCGTGATACCCTCATACTATACCTGTATCCAGGTTGCGAAACAATTGCTCTACCGAGAGCTTCTTTGTGATGACCGAGCCCTAAAAGCCAGCCCTCTCTCTACGCATGATACATACATACATACGTCCTCAGATCAGACCCAATTAGACGAACTCCGATTACGACTGCCCCGATCCCAATGTGTCGGGTCACACGCGTTATCCACAAGGAGTGCGGACATGTCAACGACCATGTCGATATGGATTGTAACAGACCGAAGCTCAAGCTCAAGGATGCTCGATGCGATGCTTGGGATCAGCCGCACTGCGCCATAACCTATGTCCGTCTTTTGAAGTCCGCGGAGGGGTACGAGTGCATGAAATGCAACAATGAGTTGTCTGACGATGAGAAATCGAATGGTTCTTGACCGTGGCTCGAGATATGCGGGCTTGAGGTCCTCTCCATGACGTTAATAAGGCTACCTTAGGCCGTGCGGGCAATGTGGGTTCTGGCTTTTACTTCTATAATACTTGTTGTGCCCTAAGTCGGTGGTGCGTTCTAGGGCCTGGCTGGACCAGTAGCATTTCGGCGCAGAAACAGATGTGATTTAATGAGAATTGGCAATACTTGCTTTCATGCATTGCAATGCCGTTTGAGACCACTCATCACTAATCAAATAATTATTACTCAAATTATAGAAAGTTGTAGGACAGAATCGGACAACAGAGGGCAGGAACCATGGAATAGTTCTGGAACGTACATGTCTGCCGTTGTCAAATACAGGAATAGAGACCAAACCAAGAACGAACGCTGGCTTCTCAAGAACTCGAAATTCAAAGGAAAAAAAGGAGGGTAGAAGGCAAACAAAAGGTATGGGTTAAGTCAAAAACAACAACTGGGTGATATCAATCGTAAGCAATCTGGAACACGGAGGAAAAGATGTGCACCAAGAACATAGAAAATCCCATAGAAGTCGTGTAAATCCGTATCTACATCATGAACACATGATAAGCATCGTTCACCTGTACACAGGCTGTTCATGAAATGGACATTATTTAGATAATTTGCAAATAATTGCTGGGGACCAAACCGGGTCGTCCGCGGGTAGTAGTAACTTCGGCTTCCCACCAGCCGTCGTCTTGAAGTCGAATGACCGAGAGGACATCACCTTTGGCGAAGCCCAGTTCTTCGGGAATTGCAGCAGTATAGCTATACATGGCTCGGGCTGTAGGCACAATGTTAGTTGAAAGCCTCATCACGCAGTGAGGTTTTCGTTTGCTTACCAAAATGGAGAATGGGGCGACCATCCCGGCTGAACTGTCTGCCAGGATCCGCAACGGCCAGAGTCCTGCTCCTGGACCTGCTCCTATGGCTTCCCCCGTCATAGTAGGACCCTGGCCTTCCAGCTTGTCTTGGAGAACCGTACATGTCAACTTGGTTGGAGAGCTGCAACTCCATGCCTCCAGCACTCGACGGGCGGGATTGTTGCCGGAACTGTGGCTGCGGTGAAACGCCACGGCTCATGGGATTAGGAGAAGCTCGCCTTGGGTACTCGCGGGGCGAGTATGCTGCATCTGCTGGCCGCTGGGGTGGGGTAGAGACAGTCGGTGACTGACTGAACCGACTTCTCATACTGCTGGATTGGTATGTGCTAGGGCTTGGGCTTGCTCCTCTGCTGTACTGACTCATGCGGGTATCCACACGGGGGCTGCTGACGTTGGGACTTGCGCTTCGTCTTGGGGTGGGGGACCTGGCACGAGGTACATCTTGGGATTGTGCACGGTTTCTAGTTGCGAGGCCCGAGGTGTTGCTACTACCACGTAGCATGTTATTAGTTTGTCCTGTGTACTTCTGCGTCGTCTTCTGCATTTGCGCGGAGGTGAACGCCGGCTGCGGGGCATCAAGACGTTTCACCGAAGAGTCGTTATATGACGGAGGCGGAGTCGCCACGGATGCGCTGCTGTAATTTGAACTAGGAGCTGAAGGGTTTGGTGTAGCAATGCCATGGTATCTGTCAGCAGAGATCCGGGTGGTGGACTGTTTGCCCGCCCCTTTTAGATCAGCCAGGGCCCGCGCAATTGGATCAAGCTCTTCTTCCACAGTCTTGGCTGCCTGAGATGCCTTCACTTTGTCCTTATCAGGTGATGCGACGTCAAATACATTGTTGCCGACATTAAGCTGGAAATTGGCTCTCGGATCCACAGGCTCAGGGCTACTGGATAGCTGATCGTTTCCAGGAGCAGAAATTGGCGGCTGGGGCTGAGGAGCTTTAGTTGGGCTTGATGGCTTTGACGTATCCCATGTGCCACGAGAAGGTGGCTGTGACGGGCCAGAGTTGCGCTCCTTGTCATGGCGACTCTTTCGTCGGAATGGGCTGTTGCTAAAGAAGGCGCTCCTCTTCTTCTGAATTTGTTTATCCGTCCCCATGCCATGAAGTGGCACGCCATTTGTCGGCTTTGTTGGGGATTGTCTGGCGCTGGGAGGTTCCTGACTGGACATAGAAGTTGGATTGGAGATCTCACTCTGGGAATCACGGCTCGATGGTCGGTAGGCGCTATTTGTGCCAGAGCTCCGCTCAGAAGGAGGTCCGGTCCTGCAGAACATGGTCATACCATCCGTTGGATACGCATTGTGAGGCACACTACTAATCTCTCCATGCTCGCTAGGGTCGTAGTTCGGTGGCAGTTGACCACCCCGGCGAAGATCCAAGGGCGCTGGCTGTTGCGTCGCCTTTTGCGGAGTGATGGTAGTTTCCCTACTTGTAGGCGTAGGGGGGTTATTATGAACGATCTTGCTTGCCAGGTCGGACTGTGGGTCGTGATGCGATTCATAAGTTGATGGTTGCGGGGAGGAACTGCGAAACGCCGGATTGATTGTACGCTGGAATTGGGCTACAGAGAAGCCATCTTCTTCTGAGACCTCCGAGCTGGTATCGTTAATATCACCCCGACAGAAATTAATGAAGCGGGGAGGGTCTGGGATATCTTGGCCAGTTCCCCTTTCCTTGATGAAGTAGATGATATCCTTCTCAACCTCACAGCCTTCCAACGAAAGGCGGATCTTCTCGCACGACTAATAACAAGTTTAGCAGGCATTCCATATTAGCAAGAGGTGATACATACAGCATCATCGCTAACACAAACAGTAGATGCAATGTTTGCATAAGCCCACAGACTGCTTTTAGTAAAGTCGAGTCGTTCCTCTTCGAGATCTTGGAATTTCTAGATGCTCATTAGTTTCATTCACCAGTCGCTCGGGTCGTCCTTCGGGACATACGTCACAGGCTGATTTCCATTCTTTATTCCAGCGACCAGTCGTCTCTTCAAGCACTTTAATGGCAGCTTCATACTCGCTGCTGCTGGAGGCCAGCTGAACCTGCGTCTTCTCCAGCTTCGCTTTGTTTTTGCGTTCTTCCTGTCCCATGACCATATGTCCTTGGGCAAGGTATCCCTTGATTCTTAGGCAGTCTTGCTCGTACCGATCTCGGGTCTACAGTCTAATCAGTACGTTCCGACTCAAGAAGCTTGTAACTTCAACTTACCTTATTCACTGTCTGAGTCTGCTGCATCTTGGTTTTCAGCAGGCGCTCGATCCCTGTTTGTATGATCTTTCTCCGCTCCTTCGATCCACCAGCAAACGCTACCAATGGCTCTTCTAACTCCCTTTTCATCTGTCCTGCGATAGCTCCATGTGCCTTGGCAATTGCCTCTGTTTCGCCGCGGACAACATCGAAGGAAGACCGAAGGGAGCCTAGCTCGGTCGACCCAAGGGGTTTTCGGCAAAGAGCCAGCAGCTTGCGTGCATATTCCTCTTCAATGGCAGCACGGACTGTTCACCTCATTAGAATCTAATGACCAGCGCGCAATTCGGAGCACATACTGTTATAGAACGTCTTGAGTTCATCGCAAGACACTTTGGCAGTGTGCATGCGTTCAAGCATGGGTCCAACACCTGCGTCATCCTTCCCCCAGAAATTGTTGGCAACTATTATGATAGATAGCGTTAGTAGGGACTATTCATGGTATTGTTGGATCTGTCTAGGGGTCCTACAGGACATGGCCACTGTTGGCCCATCAGCCACTGTGCCGGGCATATTTTTTTTTTTTTTTTGGCAGATTATAGTCGGTCAATCCTTCCGAGCTTTGGCCAGCCTTTGCTCATCTGATCACCGGAAATCGAAAAATATAACAAGGAGCAGGATCGAATGTAGTCCAACAAATAAATAAATGAAAGCAATACGACTACCCGAATAAGATTCCGGAGAATTAGGGAGGCAGGAGATCAGTCTGGAGAATAACCCCGGAGACGGCAAAGGGGAAGAAGGGGAGAAAGAAAGCCAGGAACCACGGAAAGAATGGGCAGAACAGCAGCAGAATGGAGCTGAATCTGGTGGAGCTGATCCTCAGGTCAGGTAAGGTTGAGTCTGGAATGGATGACAGGCGATGTTTACAGCTCCACGTTTCTCGGGGCAACCGGTCCATCACGGGGGCACGTCATTTTAATGTATTAAATGTACGGTACCGTCCCACGACCTGCCACTCAATTTCAAGTACGTGCGGTACTCCGTCGTCACGCTGGCTGCCCGTGACTTTAGCGCCCGCTCTGGCAACAAGGGAGTGGAACTCTTAATGCAAATCTGTGCTGGCATCCCCAATCATGGGCTGCAATTTGCTCTCCCTTGGGGAACTTTACCACGGTTTGGGTAGTAATTGACCACGCGTCGTGATTGATGCCCATTTCCTGAAACAAGTCCGTCAGGGAGGGAAGCGCGTCCATCACTCGTGGTTCAATTTGAGTGCCAGCCACAGTCGACTTCATGACACAGGTATACAGATCCCCAGCCCACCTGAAGAATCGCTGACAGTTCCCAACCCCAACGGGCTATCCGCGTCTTTTTGCCTCAGGCATGCATACTCTGTCTTGATCACGATCCATCCCTTAGCCCTATTGCACATTCTTGAACTCCTTCTTACCCAATCGATACCTCTTCTCGTAGAGATACGGCGCTATTCAATATATGATATCGTGAGGTCTTACTCAAAGTAGCGGAACCAATTGGAAATGGCTACTTCGGCGGCCATTTTCCGAGTCTTGACAACCAATCACTGTCCTGGCATCCATCCGGAAGGCCAATTCCCACGGCGACGAGCTTACCTCCACGCAAGAGCATCTACCCTATCAATTTGCCAAAGAGCATGAGTAGCTAGCATACTAGAAGGCAATAGGTGACAGACCATCGGTCAGATTCTTAGTGAGGGAGGGGAAGAGAGAGTTGTATAATGTATTATACCCGAATACAGCCTCTACTAGGGGCTCTGCTACTCAACAATCATCCACATCGCGACTAGCACAGTACGGGCTCTTTTCCCTTAATACATGCCCAAACTTCCACAGAAAGATAACACCAGTCAGACCAATGCACAATGCAATAATACCCAGTATGCTGGAAGTCCAACCATATCCCAGCCGCTCATATCTATAATCCTTGTCAGAGATGGCAATCTTGTCACACGAGAAAGACGATAACTCACGCATAAGGCGAAAATAAAGGAAACACAAATCCCGCCAAGCACCGTAGCATTGACGTCGCAGCAAGGGCACTGGCCGAGTACCGCCCATACGTGTCTACAACATAGATATTGTTCGAGACAGTGCAGATGTACGCGGCAGCCGCGAAAAGTGCAATCCCGATGTCAGGCATGAGCCAGAATAGGTGAGCTTCAGCGCTCCAGCCGTACCAGAACAGACCGATGGCCAGGATAACCGTGGCGGGAATCATAATAGGTATGCGGAACTCAGGCAAGCCTTTGCCACTGTTCCGCTTTGTCAGAATGCGAAATATGCGGTCGTTGATGTGCGTTGCTACTTCTGCTGCAAAGGCGGTTCCAAGCCCCAGTGCGAGGTAATGAAGCGAGGCTATGTCTAGTCGCTCGTGGTAACGGGTTGTCCAGAGAACAGCGATGGAGGCGTAGAGGATATAGATGTTACCGTAAAGGTAGCCTTGGTATATTGCCATCACTTGCACTATAGGTTGCGTCGTGAGAAGCTTGATGGGACGCATCATAGTGGTTCGCATCATGTCGAGTTTGGAACCGTTGGGAAAGTCATGTTCAGTGTAAAGACCTGTGGCTCCAGCTTTTGTGAGTCGATCTCTTTTCCTGCGTAATAGAACTGGCGTGTATGACTCGTCAAGAAAGAAAAGGCCGAAGATTTGTACGCAGCCGTCTACTATAGAGGTGACGTAAAATGCCCAACGCCAGGAAATGCGCTCAGTTAAAAAACCGCCCGCAATGGGTCCTAGGACTTGGCCGATAAGAGGGAATATACTGTAGATTGCCATGGCCTTACCACGCTCATTGGCATTGAACAAGTCTCCGAGGGTTCCAGCTCCAATCTTTAGGGTTGAAGTTAGGAAACCATTCTCAAGCAAATGAAGTAATGCTTGCGATAACTTACACCAACAGTACAACTCCCAAAAAGCCCAGCAATGAACCTAAAGAGAAGAAGTTGCTCAATAGTCCTTGCAACACCGCACGCAGAGTTGAAGACCAGAAACACAAAGTTGAATGTCTGCAGCACCACTGTTCGGCCCCAGATCTCCGACAAAGGACTGATGAACATGGGTCCAATAGCGTAGCCCAGTAGAAATATTGACAGCACCATAGGTCTTAGAACAGTAATTGTGATGCTGAGCTCTTCCGTGATAATGTCTAAGGCAGGAGCGACAATAGTTGTTGGAAGCGGGCTCATGAGGACAAAGCCGGAAATTGAGATAACTGCCAGCCATTTTCGACGAGTCGCCCAATTCTTAGGGTTTTCTGGATCGTCAGGCCCGTCCCAGGTGACCTCTAAATGTTAATACTCGTTCAATTCGGTCCTGCATAGCACACTTACAAGTCCACCGTCGACGTCGTTGCTTGTCATACGATCCTCGTGTTTGGGGATGTTTTCGTTGTGGGCCATGGCTGTATGGTTCTGTAGATGAAGTCTGGAACTAGAGGAGAGACAAGAAGTTGGCAAGACATCATGAAAATGTAGCCAGGTAATCAAGGTAAGGAGCTTGATACAGGACGGAGTTCAAAACAGCTCCGGCGAGGCCATTCGGAGTTCAACATCAATACTCGGAGTTCAATATCCACATCCAACTCCGTCTGGGCCCGGGGTGCTTCCTCAAGATGCATTCAGCATCGGACGCAGGTTTACGTGGCACGAGCCGTTCTCTCCTGGTATAGCAATTTCACCGATCGACGGGGACCGAGGAGCGTTTCGAAAGATGACTTCAATCTAACATGACTGGGGATGTCGCGGGTTCAACCCGTGAAACCCTACCGTCGATAATGTTTTCTGTCTCAGTATCTGAAAATACTACGGTATCGCTACCTCTAAGCAACCAGCTACTTGTCGAATGACCGATGTTTGCACCTGAGCAACAACGGAATTTATGATCGAGGCCGCCCGCGGCTTTACGAAACGGGATATACCTCTCCAGAATTACAGCATGATGGCCGAAGCATCTAGCGTCAAATACCCGCTTCCAATCTGACCGAAGATGTCATCAAGGTTGAGAGAGTCGCTATCAAGTCCAGAAGTAGGTGAGAACGGTATGCCGGCCGCAATTTGATTCTCGACCGTTTCTCTCGTTATTGGTTCGCGGCTTTTGGGGTCAATTATCTCGCCAAGGATCCCGGACAAGATGGCATGTGCCCATTTGCAAGGTTTTTGGTTGACTTCTCGGCGATTGATGCTTCTTTGGAGATTTGAGATAAAGACGGCGAGATTTTGTATGACCTCGGCGCGAGGAATCACGTCAATCTGTGAGTGGGAGGTGGTGGATGTACGATATAACTCTTTTAATAAATCGACTGCCAGAATACTAGCGCCTGGTAACCCATAATAGAGAATCTTAGGAGATCTTAGCATCAAGCCAAACAAATACGTGAGAGGATAAGCACTTACAGACCAGGATATGTCTCGCTGCATGTTGAAACCCTGGTCAGAGAGCGATACTACCTGCAGTACTGTATTCAGCAGCGACCTTGAGGTCTGGTATAGAGGTTCCCGCGTCCACTGAGTCTCATTGACAAGCTTCCGGTGTAACAAGAAGCAGTTATACTTTTGATCCATATAAGTTGTCATCACGACATATCGTTGTGGAGGGGGAATGTGTTGAGATTCAGTAAGCTCGTCGTATTTCAGCTCTTGTGGAATTTGGTCCCAGACAAATTCGTGTCTGGTTAATATATCACTAAATACCGGCCATCAGCAGAGTTAAGGCAGTATTGGCAAGCCACTCACTGCACCAAATTTTCGCTATCATTAGTGAAGTGTGTGTTAAGACACACCCCAAGTACCTCTTCCCGAAATTGACTAACTATCAGTTTCATCCGTCTCCAGGTTGCACCGCGAAATTGTCGATCCATATTCCAACCATTCGTGTCGACATTACGCAATGAAGTATACAGTTCGTCACCCTCTAACAGTAAAACTCCATCGTCGATATCAGCGGGCATAATATTGGCACAGTGTGAGCCCGAGATTCTCGGCGGTCGACCGAGAATAGTGCTAATAGTTTTATCCATTGAATATATTTGGGCGGCATATCTCCTTCTCATCTCAAGTTGGTAGAATGGATGGGTTTCCTCAGGTTTAACATTCGCCTGGTGAAGTCCAAGGGCGAAGAACATACTCGAAAGGTCACCCATACAACGCCAGAATTGAAAACCTGCAGTATCGATCTTGAGTACAAATATGCTTTTCCTGTCTGTGAATTACTTACTCAGGTCGCCGTGAACCAGATTCTTCAGACAGGCGTCTCCATAGAGCAGCCATAAAGCCTGATGGCTAACACAGCTATAACTATAACAGATAGAGGTACAATAATCGACTGCTTCCGCGATATGATGGATGAAGTCGAGCTTCTGGGTAGGGAGTGGTTTTGATGGTTCGTTTTGCTTATTGACATCATATTTGAGTGATACTCCAAGCATAGCAAGAACAAAACCGATTATCTCCCACCTGAGATTAGGTCCAGTGAACAAAGTGTGGTAGTCCTTCGCTGGAACAGGCGTAAAAAGATTTAAAGGCTTGGAAGTGTTTACAAACACATCCAC